GTATTCGGCCTAATTCCTACTAGACATAACAAACAATATTGACTACAGATTGATGTGGGAAATGGCTCTAATGCCAACATTATGGATCTAAGATTGGGCCCATCGCTAAAAATCTACTATTTATCAATTTTATCTAGATGAACGCGTCATTGGGACGGTATTAATGGATATTTTTGGTCACTATTGAAAATTTAGTCGTTTGCTGAATGTATAGGACCAAAATTAGGGGCTTTTAAGCCGACATTACATCCATTTCCCCTATTTTGATTTTTATATCGAAATTCCAAAACTAGATTGTTGATCTCAATGAGTCCTTTGCCCCAATTTATCAGTTTTTGGATAAAGCCATCCAGAAAGTGGGTACCAAAATGCAAATGCAAAATCAATGCGAGGTAGATAGGTTATATGTTGAATTTGACAGCCTCAGCATCTCCGTGATATAAACCTTATTTTAACACTAACACGGTTATACCGATATATGTATGTGGATAATTTTAGTTCCATACGTTCACGAGTGCGTTATTCCTAATTCTACCCAAAACACACAATTAGGAATCTTTGCTCAGCTGTTGTTATGATAAAGACTGAACAAGACTTGAAAGAGAGAGACTCTCATGCTGCAATGGATGATTTTCGTGTAGAAAACCATCCGGCGTTTCAGCGAAGATCGGCGGAAAAGAGCTCAAAAATTGCAGCGCCTGATGAGAAAAAAAGGAAAAATAAGATATAAAATCATCCATCTTTAATAAACAATCATAACGGGTGTTACGTTTATAGACCTGTGTGCTCTATTTTTCTGTTGCTTTCGTGGTTCCCCCGCACAGATCTTTCAATGGATTTGGAAAAGAATTACTGAACAATGCGGCGAAGAAAAATCAACAACTTTCAACATTGAACGCTGGCGAGCATAAAACAAAACTTTGAAAATGCCAAAAGAAATGAAAAAATACGAAAAAGACAGCTTAACGCGCAAACCCAACGAAGTGCTGACTTTCATTTTGGTGATTTCTTCACACCCTTCCGCTGCTAACCATACTGTAATTCGATTTCCAAACTTTTCATAGAGAAATGGAAATCGGCTGAGACTTTGAAAGGGCGTAGCGTGAGTAAAATCGACTAAATTGGCTTTATGAGGCTGCACAACTTTGCATACGCCCTTTTTTAGTATGAATACAAAAATCTTGAAACTCACTAGTGCGCGTCTGGATCTACGGTTGGCTCTTTTTAGCTGGTTTGTGTAGTCAGCCGCGCTCGGGACGGTTTTCGGGATAAATGTTCTACGTGAGTGAGCTCATTCAAGTTGAAAAACGCAAGAGGGCCGAGTCTTCCCAAATTGACCTCTCTTTCCTTTGCCACTCACACCCGCGGCAGCGTGTTTTCCTATACAAGTGTTCGGCGTAGCTGCAACTGGGACCGCTTGCTTCTGAAGTCGAACATCTGCTGCTATTTGTTGTGACTTCACGGACGCATTATGAAATTAATCTGTTAATCTTTCTCTGCTTCTACGTACATAAAAAATAGCACCGCTTTTTGGGGGTAACCGGCATTTGACCGCGTGTTTGCATGCGTCTCGTTAACCCGAAGGCTACGTGTACGAAGAGATGAAAACGCTAGAAGATTAACTGCAATTTTCTTTTCCAACTATTGGGAGTGAAACACTTCCGTATGCATTTTGGAAGGGAAATTATGCATGAAAGATGTATTACGGCGAGATGACATTTGATTTATATAGTCTCTTGATAGGTTGATTTCCCATCTCATCTCATTAGTTACACAGCAAAAAAATTATTTTGATATCACATCAAAGTGGATGCACTACAATCATGTCGAAAATTTCATGTAATTTTTATGACCACATAAATAAACAAATGCAGTAAAAGCAGCGTAATGTCAGTTCATGCATTGTATTAATGATAATTTTGTCCTTTTTAGCAAGTAATATTACACCATATTTTCGACATGATTGTAGTGCATCCACTTTGACGTGATATCAAAATTATTTTTTTGCTGTGTATGATCTGACACATATTTGGTTATCATTAATATGCACCTTTAGTATTGATAAAACGATCCATAAAAAAATGAAAAACGCTCCTTAAAGAACTCTCAAATGATCCATAAAACACCGGCGAAAATCCCTAGAAAAGTGTGAATGATCTACAAAAAATATCAGTATGATCCATATGTTAAATAAAATTTAGCAACACTTTTGAAATTATGTACTGGTAAATTTTAAATAATGAGCACTGAAATTGTTCAAATTAGCCATACACATATCAGCGGCGCTGGTGGTGTAGTAGTAAGCGTTATTGCATCTCACCCCCAAAAGGCCTGTACCGTTAAAAAAAATTCATGTAAATTTCTGCGAGATATAACGCACATAACATTAACACTACATTTGGCATATACTTACGCGATATGTCGTGTAAATTTAAAGCTCAATATCGCATAAATTAGCAATATTGTATGCAAGCTTGTAAACTATTTTGCTGTTTTACGATTAAACGAAGGGAGATTTTACACGATAGTTAAAATTAAGATTTTTTTTTCTGTGTGGGTTCGATCCCAGTCGGCGCCGCCCGTGATTTTCTGAGACATAAAATCTCTGATCACGACTTCCTTTGGAAGGGAAGTAAAGCCGTTGGTCCCCGGTTCATGAGTTGATAGGTAGGGTCCAGGTGTAGGAGCTGCCTCATTGATAGGCCCGTTAGTAGCATTGATACTCACACACTACCAAAAAGTCATGTAAATTTCCGTGCCCTGAGACCGACACATGCAAGCGGCCCAAATAACATAAGAATCAGTTGAAAGAAACGAGTAAATAAACTCAATCAATCGTACATTTCGTCGAGTTGCGTATGTTTCGGTTTGGGAATACTTAATTTTACATGACATGTTTGTTTACGTTCCATAATTTACGTCAAAGATAGATTACGTCTATATAAAATTGATAAATAGCAAATTTTTAGCGATGGGCCCAATCTTAGATCCATAGGCCAACATTAGAACCTTATTAAAGGATATGCTGTCAATCTGAAGAAGGAAGGCAATTTTTGAACATTTTCACTAAGGATCCGTGCACAAATTACGTAACGCGTGAAGGGGGAAGGGTATTTGAGCTTGCGTTACTTATTGTTATTAAGGGGGAGGGGGGTTAGTGCAAAATTTTCCGTATCAAACTGACCAAAGGGAAAAAATAAAAACGAACAAAAAAATATTTGCTGTTAAACGATCATTACAAAAAACATTGTCGAAGACACAAAATCACTAAAATGAATCCTTGCCATTGCCGTTGCTGTTGGTAATATGTTGCTTCTGGAGCTGCTGTTGGTGTTCCTGTTGCTGTTACCTTGCATCTACTGCTGAATTTGCTCCTACTCATGCTGGTAAAAGAGCTATGACTTCAATTGATATGATTTTTATTTTTATGATCAAGAAGATGTTTTTTTTCTGCTTAGTAACTTGAAATTCTGTTCCATTTCTCTTACTTTCAACTTCAGCCAACTGTTTCGTTTACGCGGGTATTTCATGTCACCTATTATTTATGTCGATTAATCAACAAACGCAGATGAAAGTTTTGCATAATTCCTAGAGCCGTTATGAACGCTGTAGTGATCTAATTAGCTTGTGTCATTTGATAATGTGCTCACCAGTTAAGAAAGTTTAACGAATTTAACGAATGTTTTATCGATAGTAAAGTTGATTTGATTTATCTTAGAGAAAATTGGTTGACTTATAATATTACTGACAGTATGATGTGCTTGAGCGCTCCAATTTAACCACTAGATACTCTGAAATATTATGTATCCTCATGTAAAACATTAACGCTAAAGATCAATACTGAGATAAAGAAGGCCGAGAAATTGAGAGTTGACAGTTGTATTCGGGTGACTATTTTTAAAACAAGTGTTTGCAGTTATTGTGGCTACCTCATTGAAACCTTGTACCAGTAGATCTCGATCGAATTTAAGTTGTTTGAAATGTCTGTGTAGGGTGCCGAAATATCTTACGTAAGCATGAGAAAATGTTGGTAGTTTTCTGAATCCTTGAAAAAAAACAATCAAGGCGGATGTACTTCGCATTCTGACACAACGGTCCTCCAAAATGCACTATAGTGTGGAATAATCTATAGACTGTCAAAACACTCACCAGACATGTACGGTAACGTATTGAAAAAGAGGAAAAGCGTCCATAAGACTTTCTTTTTGCTTGTAAAATCTTCGACAAGAAATATTTGCCTGATAAAGACGTCTCTCCTGCTGCGTCGCGGCGAGCTGTTTGGCCGCAAAGCAAAACCCTGAACTAAAAACAGGACAACGCCTTGTATAGATGCAAACGAGGCAAAAACCAAAACCCTTTCCTGCCACAACCAGCATATGTATAGAAAATAAAATTATACTGCATTATGTTGTTACAACGCGAGTGCACTCAGCCCGTAACCCCTTTCGACTCTCGTTTTGACGACCCACAAGTGTGGCGCAATTTTCCAACGAATATCCGATTCTCCATAGCCTCTAGCGATGGTGCCATTCCCGAAGTCAGTAACGTAAATTATTATTGCCGGACTGGAAGTGGAAAATAATTGAAAGTTCCTTCTCTTGTCGCCAAACCATTCTTAACATTTATCGTATGGGAACGGCGGAAAAAACCAAAACCGGGAATAGCAAGACATTTTTCTACATGAAGGCTTTGCTTTACGCGTGCATCTACCTACCATGAAAAGAAAATTGCATCCCAAGCACGCGCCTTTTCAAATGCGCTTTTCGATTTTGGCACAATCTGCGTTCACACTGCTGTATGGAAGTGTCAACCTGAACTCAATGGGGATGGAAATTAATTGACCATTAAGTGATTAATTTGCATTCAAGACATGTTTCCGGGAAAGTGCATCTAGTGCACTCAAAGGCACGCTTATGACAGATGCGAACAATTAATTTTCCTTTTTAGAAGACAAAAACATTAAATACACTTATCATAAAATAATCTTCAAAATCACTCACCTGTTACTCGGCATACTGTACTTAAGATTAGAAAAATTGCAACGTAGGGAAATAATAAGCTAGATAACCTTCGTAACCGATAGCTTATTCGTCTCCTTCCTGGAAATAGAACAAGATCACAAATAATTAATAAAACTATACAGAATAAGAGGAATAATAATTAAAAGATTACATATAAAACTAAGTCAAAACTAATTTAGGTTAACCTTTTTCTAACCCAAGCGCTTCGAGGGTAATTAATGATCGGAACTAAAGTTTTACTACATCGCTTCCACAGTGCCGTTTGTTTCTTCTTCAATAGGGTTAAGATCTCATTTCCGTCATACTAAGCACAACCCGTACTTTACTTCTTTTTTCAATGGGTTTGAACAAAAAAAAATAATGTTTCTATCGAAGATGACTACTAAATTGATTCACCATTCTATACGGTATTGATTTTGATAAAGAGTCGCAAATTGTTGAGATTTTGTTAAAAGTCTCACACTGCTATTTGATTTCAATCCCGTCTTAAGAGTTTGAATTCCGTCCAAACACATTGAAACGTTGAAATTGGATTTACTTCGGATTTGCTAGGAGGTTTTTGAGAATAATATACATATTATGCGCTGTAGATTTTGTTTTGTAGCTATTGAACTAAACTATCGTACCAAACGTGTGATGGATTCGTTCATGTCGAGTTCATTAATATACTGCTCGATATGACGAAAATACGCATTTACGTCGATATAGTTCTCTACCCCATCGTAATTACGTGCACCGCAATTTGTTCTAAAGCAAAACTAAAACGATAGCCGTGAAAAATTCAGTAGGAGCCGCTTAGAGTGGAAGTACAAGTGAAACCCGTAAAAAAAGAAACGTTTATGCCCCTGGTTGGAGCGATTAATTAAGTCTAACTCGGCTATGATCGAACTCGTGTTCACTATGTACCGCCAGCGTGGAACGAACCCATTCGGGCGGTATGCAAATCGTGGGCCCCTTAGAGACTTTACTCATTGTGTGCGGTCTTTCGGCGAAAATGCTAATGCTGCTTGATCAAGACCCGAGTGAAGATTTCACGTGCAGGTACGTAAGTTATATGGAAGATGTTCTACTGTTCTTAAAGGTTGACTTCTCCGGCCCATACTTGTACTAGGTGGGATGCCGTTGTATGCTTTTTACTTCTATCCATAACATATTTGAGTTCTATTTGAGAACATTTAAACTTTATTATACCCTTTGCCAACCTTATAGCAGTAAAATGCACTAATTTAGTATGAATAGGGAACGTAGTATTTAAAAGGTACTCACATATTTTTTATTATTAAGAAACAGCTTGAAATTCTAACGCTACCGATGACAAAAATCTCCAATGGATTAAACAAACAAAAAATCAACCTGAAAATGTGAGATACTCTTAAAGTTTTGCATAAAAGATATAAGTATTCTGTAATAGACATCGCGTATATTTCGGATTATGATAAACAAATTAAAGAACTGATTCGAATCATGGTTCATCAACTTCCGCACAACGGCTGTGTTTAAATTACTTTGACATTTACTCTCAGCATCATCTTCAGAATTACCCAAAATATATTAATCCACCAGAGCTGGGGACAAATAAGTGTGTTGAGGTATTTAAGAAAACGCTTGACCCCTTTGACCTCGTACTATTGTAGCATCCTTGCTGCAATGACAGGATTCTATCCAGAATATGACGAGGTCCTCGTAACAATCTTCGCTTCTGGAGAAATTCCGTCTGGTAAAGTTCCAAGTATATTATCTTATATTTGAATGGAGCTGTTACAAATAAATTTTAATCAAGCATGATCATCTCTCCGATTCGTGGTAAGTAAAACATCTGTTCCGGTAGCTTGACCCAAAAATGGCCTTCACGTCCATGGGGAAGCATCCGTTGAATATGATCACCGTCTCGTCATACAACTTAGGTTATTTTGATCTGCTTAAGGATCCGGTTTGAGTGTTAACTGGCTTGGTAGGATCATCCGGGACCTAACATGTTGGCGCAATCAAAGTTCGAGGTGTTTGTGACTTCATGACATTGTGCCACAGTTCGTATTATAACAATAAAACTAGCTGAAGTCTTACCGTCATTAAAACCGATATATCTCTGTTGTTTGCTAACCAATGTTTATGAAGTTTAAGAGACTTATGGACATCCAGATTTTCCGTTATTCCACAAAACTTCTAGGTTTTTTACAAGGACTCTGAGTTGGACGCATTTTTGAGTATAAGAATTTGGAGTCGGAGTTGTAGTATCGACTGCTAAAAATAATTTGAAACTAGAACGTCCCAAAAGTTTATCCACGTGCAACTTTTCTGGACATTGATCAACTTGATGGAACTGACTTGAAATGGCAAAACTTATCATTACTGTTAATTTTGATCGAACACACCTGTTTGTATTCCAGTCCAAACCTGTTTTTATTTGAGATCAAAACTTTATGATTTCAAAGATTTTAGTCTTTTATTTTTTTGTTTTACAACGGCATGAGGAAAGATAACAACTATTAACTAACTGAATACGGTATACGGAGCACATAACAATTGTACCTATTGACAACATGGAAGTGAAACTTTTGGGATTTCCTAATGATAACAGCAGTATTATGGAAGATTAGCATGCCGAAAATGTTTTTGTGGACCAAATCTCCATATAGCATAGAATATTTCCTGTTTATGAGTAAACGAAACGAAATGGATTTTTTATATCTGGGAATAACGACGACGAAAATTGGGGCGAGTTTCCCGTTAATCATGAGTAGTAGCACACTCTGCAGCAACGTTGGAAAGGTACCGTAAAAGGGGGCGAAGTTGATCGTTGACCGTTCAATTTTCTATTCTCGACAATACTTTTTCATGATATAGTTATAAGATAATTTGATCAGTATTTCATTAAGTAGTTTCAAATAGTACGTTTGAAACGGTTTCCCTAACAAATAATGCATTATAAAGCTCTAAATGTACAATTTTGTCGATGTGATAAAATATGCAACTTTTTTCTGTTCCGGAAAATCCGAACATAATAATGATTTTATGTGAAAAAATTGCCTACATTTAAGAGTATTTTTAATTATTTTGCGATGCAGTTTTTTTCGCAAACCACAACATTTGTTGAAATGTTAGCACCAGATTCTTCTTCAGCGAACAAAAATGAAGTATAAATGCTAATTTCTGAATATTGTAATAAAAACCTGCATGACCTACTTCACCCCAGAATTGAAATTTGTATTTCTACTCTAGTTTTAATTCTAAAAATTGAACCCAACATGCTATAGAAAAACTAAATTCATACATTAGAAAAATATTTACTAGTACAGTTTTGATAGGTATTTGTTTGTGTGCTAAAAATATGGTAGGGAATATATTCAGGTTTATTAATAAAAAGTGATCAACTTCCTCCCGTTTACGGTGCGCGATATTTCACGAAGTTCGCCAAGGGAAAACATCACGAGTCACTGTCGTTTTCGTGAACTTTCCCAAAACTGCTCCGACACCGAAATGATCCAAGAAGCAAAACAAACGGAATAATCTCAAAAAGCACTTCATCGACTTTCTCTTTCTTTAATAATTCAGCTGCAAACACATTCCTTGATACGTGTGCCATTCTGGATGAGAACCTCCTTTATCAAACTATGTGGCAGAAATAGCGCAAAATCTGTTTATAAAGCTGTGGCTATTAAAAGAGAAAGTCGATAAAGAGAATCGATCAAAGTCACTTACACCCCTTTCCTTCTAACCCCCTCAATTAAATATATGAATTGTTGGAAATTTATCAATTTTTATTTGTATTTATTTGTTTATTTGTAATTCTCTAAATCCTGAATTTTGCGCAACCCCCTAAACATCTCCATTATTTACCATTTTTTGTACAGGCTTATATTTTGGGGATATGAATCGAACTGGGGGTGACTGCCATATTTGAAAACACTTTTTTCTCAAAAAACCCTAGATTATATATTTTAAAACCTTTACAGGTTAAATTTTCCAGATGAAAAGCAACATTCTGTGAAGAAAATATGTGTCTTCAGACATAGCGTGAACCTTATTAACCACAGCTATATATTTTGCAAATCAAAGGCGCATGTCGCTGCAACGGCAATTAATCTGGGTTTCTTATTCAGAAGCAACGCTCTCTTGTGATTGTATTTACAGTGGTGGCCATTCAAATAGGACAATAGGCCGATTTTCATACAAACTAGCCAACTTTGGCATGTTACAACTATGTTTTGTTATGATCAATTGAGCTGAAATTTTGACACAGAACTACAAATATGCTGAATTTTACTTGCACGTTATCAAATTATTGGAAGCGCTTTCCGGAAATTGACAGGCAGGTTTAAAATGACCAATAAAATAGCGCTTTTATAATTCAAAATATCCGAAGTTGTTGTTGTTGTTGTTGTTGTTGTTGTTGTTGTTGTTGTTGTTGTTGTTCAACTATATCGCCATTAAACGACGGCATGCTTAAAAAAGTTATTTCCGATATGAAGAGGATTTTCCATGTTCGCCAGCAACCGTCCAAAACACTGCATTTTGACAGGGACAAGTGTCACGCATACCGTATGCGTTTGTATATATCATCAGAAAGTTGAACTTATCTTTAAAACACTACAAAGTAGACAATTACTCCCAGATGATGTTGTTCTTATCATGATTTGCTTACAAAAATAATTTTTCAAAATACATGTGATAGCAATGTGGCAGCAGTGTTGCGAAAATTGTTCAGGAACGCAAATTTTGGCCACAGAACTAATGACTATTCTTAGTAACGGTCATGTTTAATATACACTGGAGTCGCTTTTTACGCGGTTTTTTTTTACACGGTTTTTTTTTACGCGGTTTTTTTTTTTACGCGGATTTCGGAATTTACGCGGTTTTTTTTTACGCGGATTTTGGTTTTTTTTTTACGCGGATTTCAGAATTTACGCGGTATTTCACTTTTTACGCGGTTTTTTCTTGCACGGTCTTTTTTTACTCGGTTTTTTTTACGCGGATTTCGGAATTTACGCGGTTTTTTTTTACGCGGTTTTTTTTTTACGCGGGACGTATCACCCGCGTAAAAAGCGACTCCAGTGTATACAATTCAAACAATGGCGTCA